AATAGTTGTATAGTGCCTTAGAGTTTATGAAGTATACTGACATTGTTGTAGGATTTCAGAAGCTCTCTGAAGAGAAAAACTTCAGGAGATGGAGATGAAAAAACATTTTAAATTTGTGAAAAGGCACTATTAAATCGGAAATTGGAAAATTAGGCATAGAAACCACATAAGGCTAACAAGGGAAAGCAAAAGTAAAGGCAAAGAAGAAACAGAACAATAAAAAAACAGTATGGGTCCAGTGCAAGGCTTTAAATCAGGTGGTAAAGTTCCTTTAATGCATAGCATGAAACCAAGACAACTTAGACTACCAAAGATAAAGAGTCCATGGTTAAAATAATGAAAAATATCATTACAACAAGCATTAAGAAGGGACTTCATGGGAATATGCATTGAAGGTGAAAAATTAATAGAATCTTCATGTATGCTTTCACTCATCTCTTCATTGGGCACCTCTATTTTCCCAGTGCCTTTAAGAGTGTGCTTAATCTACTATGTACCCACAAATATTTGCTGAAGCTCTTCTATTCTCTTCTATCGTGTTCATTTTTTTCCCAGATGGTAAAAGTCATATAAACTCATTACCAACCCTTTGGAAAATATGGAAAGTGTAACAAAGAATATACTAACCATTTGTAGTCCTACTTCTCTGGCTCCCTTTCCTGTCTTTCTTTGTACTTCTTTTTGTGTTGGCAAACTTTCGGAATAAAGGGTGCCAAGTCAGCGATCCTTATTATATAACTGAACAAGTACTATTACTTGTTCTACTACAAGTACTATTACTATTTGCCATACACAATGCTAGAAATTGAGCATATACAATAATTAGCTATGGTCCCTTCCTATAAAGAATTTGCATTCTAGATGGAAAGGTAAAACAAACAAACATATACATGAAAAGGTAAAGAGCAAAACAACGCAGAAGGGGCCAAAAGAACAGCTTATTGAGTAAAAGCTAAAACAGTCCAGAGAAAGAAGAGATCACTATGGAACGACCTGTTCAAGAAAGGCTTTGTGAAAATAAGGGGCATTTGCAATGGGCCTTCAGGAATTGGGTGGGGGAGGGAGTGAGATTTGCACAGAGCCAAGAGAAAGACATTCAAAGCAGAGGTATACTGGCTGAACAAAGGTATGGGGTTGAGAAAATTAAGGTGCTTTAAGGAGACAGTGAAAATCAAGTAGGGCTGTTATAAAAGGTATATGGAAATGTAGGGTACAAAAGGAAAGCCAGGATTGAGAAGGGAAAGGCTTTGAATGCCAAGTCCAGGTGTTTGAACATTTTCTGTAAGCAATCCAAAAATCATCAAGGTTTTTAAGCAAAAGAGTGACAGGATAAATTATGACATTTTAGAAATATTAAGCTGGCTTTTGATGCACATAATAAATAGTGTACATCTTGATTAAAGATATGGTTATGGCAGTAAACAGACAGGCATACAAAAAAGTCCACTGATATACAACCAAAAGGGGCAGACTGGAGCAAAATAAACTTAAGAACAAAAGATTAACCTGAGATTTCTTTGTTAGGAGAAAGAAAAGCATAATATCACATAGAAGAGAGGAAGTTAGGCAAAGGGTAAGATTCCAAGATATGAAGAATAATCCTATTTTTATTTCCTCCATCATCACCATGTTTGTATGATATTCAAGTTGCCTAAGCATAGAGTGGAATAAGTAACTGTATTAAAGGAGTAACCAGAGAAGCTCCAAAGTGATACGTAACAGTGGCTTTAGAAAGTTAGAGAAAGCACAGTTGCACTAAAGTGCTTAAAAAGTATTTAAAAAAATAGTCAATTATACCTCAGTAAAAAAAAGTATTTGGAAAGTAGAAGCCACATGACTTGTTAATTGCACTATCAATTCAGGGGAAAGCACCCACAATAAAAAATCACATCAAGGTAGCAATATGAAAGAATTAACCAGAAAAGTATATTTTACCCAAGCTGGAACAAGAGTTCATTTTAATGTTAGTATATAACAAAACTAAAAATTAGTCTCTTCTCTCATTACCACACACGCAAAAGAAAGCCACCCTATGATCTCCACCTCCATTCCTTAAAGGCAATTCTCCTTGCGTTCTCTTAATCCTCTCAAAAAATTCCCTAAATCTATCTCCTTTCTTCTGTATAAACTTCTGTCTCACTGAATCTTATTCACTCCTTAATCCCACTTTAAAATATTAAATATATATGTTATAAATTTTCTTACTTTTATTAAATTGCCTTTAATAAAAGAATCCTTAGCCTTCATATAGTGATTTGCGATTGACAAAATATTTTACACATATTACCTCTTAGAACCCTCACAGCAATGCACAGCAGCTATTATCATCCATATGTTACAGAGAAGCAGCAAGCCAGGGCCACACATTCATAGGTGATAGCGCCAGGCCTGCAATGCACGCTTTCTAAGCCCAAATTCCCTATTCTCTTCATCATTCAGTTTCATAATGTGCCAGTAAGTGTATCTCATTACTCAAAATGTATGTTATTATTCTGTATTATGTTTAAGTCAATAAATCTTTTTTTTAACAAGATGCTTATGGCCAAGTGCCTACGACAGGTCCATTTACTGAGAAGATCTAATTATTTTAAGATACTCATGATGATGACAGTTATCACTGGATGGAAAGTGACAACTGAAGTATAATGTTTGCAAAATTGCTAAGACTATACCAGAAACATTTTTTCCTTGAATTCTGCAATGCAACAACAAAAACAATATGGGTAATTTAAGAATATGCAAGCATCAAAGGGCAGAAATAGGGCATTCCTACTCTCTTTAACTCTGCTAAGGCCTCAAATACTGATATAGTTCAGAGCATCTTATTACCAGGGAGACATAAATCAAAAGGAGTTCAGCTAGGAGCAATAAAACAGATTAGTGTCTGGAAAGACTGACTTTAAAGAAAGTTTTAAAAGAATTAAATCCAGGTAGTCTAGATAAAAAACAGCTATGAGGAAACCTACTTTTGAAGCTGACACTCACACCAAAGACAGAAATTATTTTGAAGGTAGATGTCTAAAAAATGCAAACAGAGATAAGCACAAATACTCGGAGAATGTTTATAAAGGGAAAATTCAGGATAAATTTGCCAGCACAAATCTATGGGACACAAGAACTCTCTCCCACAGGAGTGGTGAAAACTACATTCCTAGAGATATTTAATACCAGGTTGGACAAAATAAGAAAAGGATTCCATATGGAATGATCCTGTACTGGCCTCTGAAGTGGTGGGAGGATTGAAGATGGCCTCTTAGATCTTTTCCATTTCTGATTGTTTTTAATTCTATGAAGTTTTACGGGCACAGCCTTCTGCCAATTTCCTTTCTCCTCATGATGCCCACTTTCTCCTTTTACAAAGGGAAACTAATTGTATCCTTCATTTTAAGCAGATCTCATGTTCTCAATGAATCAGTAATATAATCCTAGGTACAAGTTTGAGAGAAAAAAGTCAATTCCTATAACTTATAATGGTCTCTTTTTCCCCCAGTGGTAACTAGGGCTCTTACAAGTTTTTCCACAAACTAAAAAGGAAGTAGTTCAAATGGATTCGAAGAAGAGCTGTTTCATCAAGAAAACCATTAATATTCTCCCTTCTTGTGTCTGATCACAGAGCTGACAGGGACCCTGGGAGCTATAAGGCCCTGGGTCAAATTACCATCAGAGCTGCTGTTCAGGATTATCTTTTACCTTTCAACATTTTATGCTGAGTGACAGCAAACTATACTTCAATCCATGTTTTTATGGCAATGACATTTACCTTTGAAAAGATGTAGCCTTAAACACCTACATACTTTACAAATGTTATAAAAGTGTAAGTCCTAATCAGGCTTCAAACTCAAGAAGCCTCAGCCTTGCTCTCTTTCTCCATTCTAGTATTTTAAAAAATGTTTCTCAGACACCCTTGAAATAGATCCCAATACCTCTCCTGAATTCCCATCCAGTGAAAGCCCCAGAAAATACAACAGCATTTCCTCGTTTTGCTGATTTATAAGGACAAGATGTAACAAAATCCAGGGAGCTCTGAGAACCTGTCCCTGAGCCCTTTAAAAATAAAACTGTAGCTCACTTATGAGAAAGAACAGCAGGGTAGAGACAGTCCTGCAAGAATGGACACCAATGCCTCTTCTACCCAATTTGAACAGCCTCAGTGGCTGAGCACACACCCATTCCCATTTTGCCTAGTCGAAATAAAGTATGTCCCGCCGCCCACATAGAAAGTTCATAGATATTAACACCAAATCCTCTAAACAAATTTTTAATACCATTTTCATTTTTTCTCTAGTTAAAATGAGACTGTTCAAACCTAAAAAGATAGGCCTCTCACATTGGAATAGGATTTGGAGTTTCCAAAGCCCTTCCAATACTTAACTCATCTGATCCTAGCAAGAAAGAAGGCTGGCATTCACCATCCTACTTTAAAACAGAAAAAAAAATCGACTCTGAGATTAGGTAATCTGAAGGAGAACTCACTGTGGAGCTTTTCAAACCTTCCCCACAAGAGACCAATCTAAAACGGTTATTCGAGAAAACTTTAGAGAGGGTTTCAAAAAGGCTGAATCCTTCCATATCCTCAGCTCAGGAAAGCAAGAAGTAAGAAAAACAAAAAGGCACTTTTTTCTAGAATTTTAGGAATGAAACGTGACCCTGACCTTTTAGTAGCCTATGAACCTGAGTGAATTTTCTCAAGAAACCCATTGCGTCGTCTCCCCACAGGACTGCCTGCCAGAAATTTTGGTTACCAGTTCGCGGCCTCGGAGACACAGCCGCCCAGCAAAAGGCCGGCAGCCAGGACAAGGACAACCTGGTGAGCCCCCTTTGCGTAATCACGTCAGGAGTCCCACACTCCCGTGTCACCTCGCCAGCAGCTACCAGCTTTTCAGGGGAACTTCAACCAGTCTCTCCTCTAAATCTCCCCCCACCACTATACAGACAACGAGTACTCGCCCCCACTCCCCAAACTTCCCCTACCCCGCAGGAATGGAAAGCAGGTTTCTCACCATCCTCATAGTTTTTCAGATAGTAATCCGGGCCGGGACCCCCGCGGCTTTTCGCCGGGTTCCTCAGGTTCTGAAACTGCAGAAAGTCGGTCCTCTTGCCCCCGAATCGCAGAAAGGCGGGCGAAAGTCCCCGGGCCAGGGTCACCAGACGCTTGGAGCTGCAGGGGTAGATAAAGAGAGAGGAAAGGATCCAGGAGGAAGGCGAGAGGGCGCGGGGCACCGAGCAAGGCCCTCTTCCTCTGAGAGCACCTAGCCGGGGACAGGGGGCTCTGTGTCCGCCCCAGCCCGGCGCCCGCGCGGACTCCTGGCCGTTCCACGGCGTCTCGCGTGCGCCCGGCGCCCCAGCCCGCCCTGCCCTCAGCCACCTGGCTCCCCGGGGCTACGCCTTCTGCGCCCAGCCGGCAGCGGCCCCCTCCCTCAGACACCCCCACGCTGCATGCCAAAGGTACTTATTTGCAAAGGGTTAGTGTGTTTGTTAACAGACTGTGCGTGTGGCGTGAGGAGGACACTTCTGCTGAGAACACGAGGCTAAGGCGCAGTTGCCCGGCTTCCGCTACCGCCGGGAAAGCGCTCCTGGCGGAGACGCGCAGCGCGCGGACCCGGCGCTCAGACTTCTGCCTAGACTTCCAGGCTGAAAGCCGGGATCTACGTCCTCCGCCCCAGGGCGCTGCAACCACTGCGGAGAAGGCGAAACCTGCCTTCTTTCTCTCAGACCAGGCACATGAGATCAAGCTGATTCCGACTTTTTTCTTTTAATGCCTAAGTTGATTTTCCTTTTCCACTGCCTTATAACAACCGCATCCATCTCCCAAATCCCTGGGCAAGAGAGATTGCCGGAGTTAATCCTTGCCTTTCAGAGAACACTCCCCACCCCCGCCTTGCACAGTAAAAGCAATGTCTCTTTGCCCCCTGAAATAATTCAGCCTGATCTCAGGAAAGGTAACATCCTCGTCTCCACCCTCCAAGTTGGGCTCCATCTTTTTTCCTTCTCACTTAGGGCCGTTTGGAAGAGCCAGAGAACGTGAATTTTGCCAAAATGTGGAACCTGTGCCTCGGAGGAGACTCGAGAAGCACCAGAAAAATAGCATTTACATCTATTTAGGTTCAGGATTTCCATAAATAGGTTTTTGAAAAGCCAAACGCTGAAACTTGAGGAAAGGGTAGAGAAGGAGCATTGCAGATGCTCTTAATGCTACAGGGATCAGCTGTTGAGTTCTGGATCTGAAAGTTATTTTTAACGCTTTGCTGGTTCAGGTCTGAAAATCCAAATCCAAATGGAGAAACTAAAGAGTATCATAAATGAGGTGGATACAGAGGGGGGATAAACCCGGAGACTCCGCTTTCGGAGAGTTTCTGACAAGAGTCGTGGCCGTCCCGAGAAGTTCGGTGGCCAGAAGGGTCGTTTGGCCAAGGACTCCAGGACTCCGAGTTCCAGGGCGGGCACAGTCGGGGCGTCGCGTGGGCCGGCGGCAGGCAGAGGCGATGTCCGCAAGAGTCCGGCCCCGCGGAAACGGCATTTCCAACAACTGTGCATCCGGAAGCCTGCACAGCCAATGCGAATGCGCCCCGCCACGGCTTCTTCCCCGAAAAGCCGCCTTCCAGAATCTTTTCTGCGGCAAACATTTAGCGCGAACAGGATAGTTTAAAAAAAGAAAGAAAGAAAAAAACCTGAAGGAGTCCGCGCAGCTGGAGAAGTGCAATGCAAGTGGGGCGAATATTTCGGGAAACCCCTGACGCCCCCCACACTCGGACGTGCTCGGAGACGCGCTCTGCTGCAAGTCAGAACTTCCGAGGAGGAAGCCGGGCTCCGCGGAGCTGTTCCCGCCCTCCCAGCAGAGGCACCGGCACGGCACAAACCGAAATGGCCTCGGCGGCGGCAGCGGCAACCACTCAGTCCTCCCGCAACGCTGGCTCCACGTGGAAGGAGCGCTCCACGTGGAAGGAGCGCTCCACAAAGCGCCAGTCGCTACCTGCCGCATCCGCTGACCCCGCCGAAGCCGAGAAGACCGGGAGACTGAGGAGCTGGCGCACACAAGAAACAAAACTCGAATTTCCCAAGGAGTGAAAGATACTCACGAAAGACGCGCTGCCGGACTCTGCCTCAGGGCAGAAAAGGGGGACTGAGAGCCCTCAAAGCTCTTGGAGGGAGCCCACAGCTGAGGCTCCAACTTGGAGGGAATTTTTAAAAACTCAACACTTGGATTCGACATTGCAGGCAATTTATTTATTTCTTTTTTTACACTGCAACTCTGTCCTTAACGGGAAGGGATCATGGTTGCCTAACTGCTGAACAGTAACAACCCAGGGAGAGGGTGAGCCCAGTTAGATTCCAAGCCCTAGAGTAAGGGAGAGTCGGTGATCACAAACCTCCGGGTTTGCTAATCCGCCGGTGCCGGGTTCAGACTTCTGAAACATCCCCGAAGTATTTCTAGGACCCTTTACGCTCTCCTTATATACACTGTGACCGAAGCGAGGATTTTTTTTTTCTTTAAAGAAAAACTAAACTATGCAGTTACCGCAGGAGATTTTGAGGAGGAGGGACTGGGGGCGATTCGATCTATAAAAAGCGTCTTACAAAGTCCTGAAGTCTGGAGACGACAGCGGAGGATATAAAATAAAAATTTAAAAATCTGATCCAACTTGCCCACTGTTCAAGCCCCCTGCTTAAATTCGTTTTCCGTCTGGGAGTGGAAGAGAACTGACGAAGCGATCTTTCCGTGGAAAATTCCACTTTCGTGCGATCCCCGCTTAAACACTCACAGACACACACAGACACGCACTCACTCTCTCTCACACACACACACATTCCTCTCGGGTCTTTGTTGCTCAAGATCTTTTCTTCGCTTTTGTAACTGCCCTGAACCTCTTGTTTCTTTTTCAGAAGGAGACGGGGAGGCTAATTGTGGATATATGTAAGCACAACATTTTTTCAGTCATAACTGATAAGTTTCTGAAATGCCTTCTGCATTGCAAACATGTGCATCTTAATAGAAAACATTGCTTTACTCAATCACCAGTTACAGCCTCACAGCAAATATTCCAGGAGGAGGAAAACCTCCTTTCTTCTCTTTGAGAGATCCGCTTGGCTTATTTTCTTCTTCTTCTTCCCCTTTTGGAATGGGGAGTTGGAAGGGGTGGGGGTTGTTACTTAAAAGAAAAAAATGATCCATCGAAGCCCCTGCCTTACCTTAAGAAATCGAGCCAGCCATCATGAATGATGGACGGATCCAGCTGCAGAGAGAGGAAGTTCTCATTGACTGTCCTGACTGGGTTCTTGGTGCTCACATCAAGTAGAATCAGGGTCTTTTCCTTCAAACCTGGAACTCTGTCTACAGGCAAGGGTCTCCTGTCTCCAGCTTGGGAGGAAAGGGAGAGATGGAGCAACAGAGCCAAGAAGAGAGCCACCGGGGTTAGGCACGCGGGGGGGCGGGAGTTGCTGGAGGGCATGGCTTCAGGGAAGGCACAGAGCACCCTCATTAAATCCCTCTGATTCAAACCTCTTCCTACAGGATCTCGCTGGTGACTAATTGTCCTTATCTAAAGTGTGTGTCTGTCTGCCTTTTTCCCCCCTTTTTCCCCTTCCTTTTTTCCCCCCTCTCTCACTCTGTCTCCTTCTCTCTTTTTTTTTTTTTTCCTTCTTCAGTGTTTTGGTGCTGGTGGAGCGAACTCACGCCCCTAGCCAGCCTTCTCAGCGACTCGTGCCAAGAGTACTCGTTCACCAGCACCGCCCCTTTAAGAGATTTCGACTGCAGACATTTTTTAACTTTTTAAAGGTAAGGGGGTGGGGGGAGAGGCGGGAAGTAGGAGGAAGGGGTGGCGTTGTACCCTCCTGATTTAACCCTCTAGGGTCAGAAAGCAGAGACAGAGAGAGAAACAGAACTGTTGTAACGTTCTGGGTACGGTGCAGAACGTCTTGTTTTACTTTCCTCCCTGCGAGGCTCTGGGAAGGGCGGTTCTAGCTCGGACCCACACACAACAGCCCCACGCCAGCCGCGGGCGCGCTGGGGTAAAGAGTCCGCACCCGCATCGCGCCCGTTTGTCCTGACGGCGTCAGGCATATCGTCCGCTCTGGGCCTTCCTTTGGGGTTGAAGCAGCAAGAGCAAGGGTGGTTAAGTTGCAGAGGGGTCCTTCGGCAGCAACTGTGATACCAGCTAAAGCACAGAGCGCAGAGAGAGACTCCATGGACACAAGTCTGGACCTCTGTGACGCGCTGGGCACCCACACGGAAGCATCCTCTGACCTCGATAGGGCAAAAGGTGGCCAAGAAGGAATACACGGAGTGACCAGGGCAAAGGGCTTATCTGCTCGTAGGGACAAAAGAGCTCAGACTAGTCGTGGCTCCATTCTGCCTGCAGCCGAGGCGAAAGTGTCTTGGGGGCTCCAATATATGCTGACTTAGGCCAAGTCAAAGCAACCTGGTCTGTATTTGGAGAGTCTGAGTGGCGCTGCGCCCCTCTGAGCCACTGCGTGGCCACTCCACGGCACAAGTAGAGCCGTCCCTCCAGCCTCTCCTAGAGGTCAACCCTGGGCTTGCCCCTCCTGCGGGGAAGTACGCCCTAATGTTGCCTGAGAGGAACAGACTGACACAGTTGGGTTTTCATACTAGGCCTGGGGTCACAGCCAGAGTCCGCCCGCACATAGCTCCTGGATGCATGAAACAGCTGGGAGCCAGGGGGTGCACCACCCGCGCCAGCTCATGGAGCCCTGACCCACAGCATCTCTCGGACTGAGCTCCGGGGTCCCAAAGTGAAGCGCCGGAAAGAGGCCCGGCACACTTTGCTGCACTCACACCGTTGGGCCCCCCTTTCGTCTTCTTTCTGGAACAAAACGGACCTTTTACTTGGCAGATGAGAACTACTTTATGCAGTGTGGGTACACATGAGCATCCCAGGGCCTCCTGATATCAAACAGACAAAACTCTAAAATGCAGAGCAAAGGTTTTCCCCAAGGGTGGACGTGCAAAGGGCAGTCTCAGAGCCCGACAAATGCAGAAATAGTAACATGTCTCCCATTCCCTCCCACCTCTTCCCTCTAGATAGGATTAAGGAATCTGAAAAGGGCTGGAGTAGATGACCCTCAACTGTTGTTCCTTGAGGTGCTTTTACCAAACTAAGCAATCAGGAAATCCACAGTTTAGGGTGGGTTAGACTGGGAAGTGCCATGAAGACCTTCCAGAAGTAGGACTGCATAAAATGAGGCCAAAAGAGAAAAAAAATTCAAGGCATATCATTTAAAGATGATTTTAAAAACCAAGACGTTACATACTGAAGTATTAGATGTGGGCTTCAGCCCTAAGGCCTGCTTCCTTCAGTTCCTGAAAATTTCTCGCACACCTAGATCCACTAGAATATATGTGTGTTTGTGTGTGACTGGGGTACGGTAGAAGTTCCAGTAGAAACTGTAATTTTAAAATGTGCACTGAGCACCTCCTAGAGATGCTGACAGCCTGGTGAGCAAAGATTTTTTATTTATCTTTGTATCTCCAGACCCAAACCCTCAGTAGGCACTCAATAAATGTCTGTGAAATAAATTAATGTTAAGTCAAATCATGCTCAATGCACTAAAATCATATTGCTCTCAAGAAGAATGTGAAAAAAATAAATACTTTTGTCACAGTAAACTTTGTGTTAGGTTTCTGTTCAGTAATTTGTTTTTCCAGTTATTAGCATTTTCCTGGTCATCTCCTTCAGGAAATTCTTATCCTTCAAATTCAGAAGCCATTAGTTTATTCTGTATTCAGAATTAAAACCAATTATATGTTTTTAACAAGGAGACAGATTTTCCAAGGGCCTAAACACCCCCTGGCTTAAAAGTGAATATACTTTCAGAAGCCACATTAATTGGGGCCAGTGGAAGACCACTTAAATAAAGAAAACATCCATCTACTAGATGTCCATAATGAATGTACCTTTCAAAAGTATCTACTCTTGTAAGTAAAGACGAACTTGAGTAGAATGAGAATTTGTCTAATTATAAATTTTATCTATAATTTTTGCTTACTGACCCAAATGTTCCGTAATTGTTTGGTAGCCTAGTTACTTTAACTAATATTTAATGTTTTCATCGGGACCTGTATGTAGCATAAAAGTCAAACCAACAAAACAAAGTGCTTTTTTCTTATGTCCTGATGAAAACCATCTCTCTGGCCATTGAAATTCTATAGTCATGTCCAGCCTCAGGACATGGGGCAAAGAAGGCAATTCGATAACATTTAAGGAGTTCCATATAGCCCTGGTTGACTCCACGATGACCTGATTATCTGGTCTGTTGGTCTATTTGGGGCATAGACATCCACAAGGCTACTCTTTCCAAATGCCCCTGCCTCCCATATCATGGTTTTTGGTCTTGCCTCCCATCTTACCCTAAATTATAGGCTGTAAGTAGCTCATTATTAATATGTATTTTAGATTGACGTTTCTCTCCTATTTTTGTGCTGGGTAACAACAATTTGCAACTCTGTTCTGTCTTAGATTGTAATTTCCTAGGAGACAAGAACTGGGCCCCTGTATAAAATATGAATTATTGGGAATTAGACGCATTGAAGTCTCCTTGGAAATGCTCTGCCTGATGTTAGTGAATGTCCTTATAGATAAATTCCTTGGTTATCTAGGAGTCTAGGTTCCCAGACCTGTAAGAAATCTTGAAGATTAACTGGTTCAGTGATTTCTAGACTTTGGGATTTCAAAATAAATATTACTTAGTGGGGAAAAGCTGACAAAGATTTGCCAACTTTTTATTTTGTCTAGTAAGGACCTTAAAAAAATCTATTGACTACTTATCACTATTACTTCCCCCCAAAAAAGAACATTTTAACAGCCAAAAAAAGCTGAAAAGATATGTCAAAATAAAGAGCATTTAAACTGAATAAATTTAGCTTCATGAAAAATCAGTATTATCATTTTTATCATTTTATCTCAGACAAGTGGAAATATGCCAGTGGCCAAAATACGTATTAGGACTGGTGACTGGGACTACTGATATATCCTGTGTTTATGGCCAAATTCTGCTTTGTAGTATACAGTGTTGCTGCAAGATGTGCATGCTTTTTAGTATAGTCATCTTGACTACAGTAATTTCCTTCCACCTTTCCTATGCTTTTTTCTCACCTTTAGCCTGTCGCAAACTCATTGACTCTATATGCCACCTCCCTCTCCTTCTATTAAACATTCAAAGCCATAGTTATTTCCATGACCATTTTCCCCTTCTGAGAAAACTATACATAAATGTCTAATAGCAAGAAAAAGATTCCTTCCAACATAACTGCGACTTGAAAGCATGAAGCTATAGCAGCCAGTCCACTGTCTCATCGCTGCCTGTGTACTTGCCCATGATGACTACTATCCATTGAGATCTTATGGTCCAGGCATGGTGCTCAGGGCTGTATATATGTTCTCTTATTAATCTTTTCAAATAACTCTGAAAGGTAGATATAATTTATTATTATAGCTAATCTACATATGAGAAAATTGAGACTCAGAGATGTTAAGCAACTTTCTCACAGTACACAGCTAATAAGTGGCAGCATGGGATTGAAACCCAGGGCCACCTGATTCCAAAGCCATGTTGGTGTTCTTAACCACCATACTCTAAGTGGCTAAATTACTGCGCACCCTCTAACAATTTGTCAATGTAGAGTAGGAAAAACCTTGGACTGCGAGTTGGAAGACCTGAGTTTAAAATCTGACTTTGCCAGATCCTAGCTTTAAGACCCTGGGTAAACTTTTCAACTGGTCTAAGCCTCAGTGGCCTACGCTAAAATTAATATAATATCCTAGAGTAAGGATCTAATAAAGTTCTGTATGAAGAAAGTGTTTTGTAAACTCTAAAACGTCTAACTGTGCTATCTGTTTCTTGTTTATTCTTATTCCCTCTCTCCCACACTTGCCACATATACATACCCTTAATTGATGACTTGGTCAAGAATTAAGTTAATATAAATAACTTAGTGATAAACTTGAAAAAAATGTCAACTCTAATAGGATGTCAATAATAAATGCAAAAATAAAACAAGTATATACCACATATTTTAACCATGCAGACTCTTCTGCCTGTAATTAGCATCTGAAAAAAGGAAGAAAAGTTAAGTAGGTTTTACATGCCTCCCTCAATTTTCCACTAGGAAAGGGGGGTCAGGAGTAGGCAAAGGACAATGCTGGGGAATAACAAAGTGTGCTGTTTTATCATCAAAGACTGTGTCTCTGTCCTGCTTGGAGGAGCAAGGGATGGCAAGATTTTTGCCATATGGAAAGTTGAAGGGGAAAGGAATTTATAACTCTCTGATTGTTCAATCTCATTACATAAGAAAACTCTAGCTGGACAGTTTTTGTTCTCATTGTTGCCATCAAGCAGTAAACTTACGTGGGGAAGATCATAACCACAATAAATGTAGTTGACTCTAATGAGTTCAGTTTGAAATCCCTTAGCATGTTTGGGGGTAGGGATGACAGTTACTTGAGGAACTACTAAAGGTAGAAAACCAAGTAACTAAAAAAGAGATTAAAATTATTCACGTCTTAGTCACACCCACTGAAGAGTGGTTTTACCAGCCCTAGCCCATTTTGCCTTTTGTACATTCAGGGAAGTCCTGAAAAGCACCATTTTATACTGGAAATTGCACAGGCTTTGGAGTCCAATAGACTTGGATTAAAACCCAATTCACAATTTAACTCACGTGACCTTTGTTGAACAAGTCATTTATTCTTGCTGAGCTCCAACTGCCCCATCTGTAAAATAGGCATAAGTATGCTTCCCTCCACATGTGTTGTGGGAATTAAATGTAGTAATGTCTTTAGTTCCTGGCACATAGTTGCTAATCTACTATCATTTTCATTAGTTGGGTTTCATTGTGGAAATAAATGTAATTTGCATAGATAAGGTAGGAAGAAATTATACACCTGAAATCTAAGGTCTTGAAATAGTATAATAATAACTACATGTATACTATTCCATTTTATGCTCATAGCATAGAGAAGACAAGCTTTATCCTTGTAATTCAGGTAAGGAAATCCAGAGTCAAAAGTTCAAAATTCTGTTTCTTGAAGAACCTGAGACGAAAGCCTGCTCTACTGACTGATAACTAGACTATGGTTTTGGTATGTTTGTTATTGAAAATACCTGAGAACTTTTATATATAATGTCCCAGGAGAAAAATTCAGATTTCCTTTCACATGTTCTATAACTTCATTAACTACATATATTTGTATAAGTTGTTCATACATACCACTTTCCTAGACAATTCTAAGTATTAATTAATGCTAAAGATAATTTCTAAGAAAGTGAAATATCTAAATCATATATATTTATCTCAATATTCTACTATTTTAATCTTGATATTTAAAAATTGGACTTGTAAGAAAACATTTGCCTGGAACATAATTGTGTTTGCTGACCCCAAAAAAGTAACTAGCGGTGACTGTATTTTCTTTTGTTACCCAGGCTAACAGTGCACTTTGACCTTTTTAAATACTCTAATATGCTTATTTCATAATAAGGACAGTTAAACAAATATTGACAATACAAAGCATACCACAGGTTCAATCCACTCCTCAATAATTAAAATCAATTAACAGACTCTACTGGTACATACTTAATTGAATATTTTACTTCACCTGAATTAACATCTAGATCCCTAATTCTTTTTGTCCCCACATAGCAGATCCAAGTCCTTCCTTAGTTCAGTGCCACTTATGCTAAATCTTACCAGCCTTAACTCTTACCAAAACTTTCCAATTCTTCTAGTCTTTTTGGTTACCTAGAGACATTGATGTGCTGTTACTTTAAGAAAGTATGTTTCATTTTCATCAGACACTTACATTTTAAATTTTTCTTTTGATTTTCTGAAGCCTGGCCATCACAAATAAAATAGATTTCCTGTGTTTAAATACTTAAAAATGTTCTTCCTTTTCAGGAAGACATGAAAATAATTTGAGAGTCTAGGTTAGTGATTCTCAACCCCGGCTACACATTAAATTCACCTGAGAAGATTTTTAAACATAATCATGCCCAGGCCAACCCCCAGATATTCTGATAATTGATTTGGAGTGCGGCCTGGGCATATTCTGGATCCCCTGCTATTAATTCTCTTTGGTTTCTAGTTTCAGAGAGCAAATTTAGATGACGAGGAATACCATGTTATTTGAATCTATCTGATTCCTAGGTTTCAGGTAATGAAGAGCAGGAGTTCAAATACTAAGGGATATCTCAAAAAAAATATCGTAATCTATTCTGTTCCTAAGTTTAGACAATGGAAGTTCAGATAGTGAGGGACTATGCTTAAAGGGGGAAAATACTATACATCCGATTTGCTTTAATGGATTCTCAACTGATTATTCTTTCATTCAAGAAATGTTTTCACTTTACACCATCTGACTGGCAAAATTTGAATAACGGATAACACTAACTGTGGATGTGGGAAGATATAAACCTTCTTGGATGCTGATGGGAGTGTAAACTGGTTGGGCCATTCTGGAAAGTCATTTGGCAATATTTATTGAAATTACGTATGCGTATTCCTCTAAGACTCGGCAATCCCACTATGGACATAAACCCCCAAGAAACTCATCAAAGGCTCATAAAAGGACTTGAATGAGGACGGTCTGTAAAGCCTTGATTTTAATACTAAGGAAACGGAGGCACCTAGATGTCCATCACAAGGGAAATGGACAGGTGAAATAAAGAGGGTGGCAGTTAGAAGAAATGAATTAAATGTACATATGACAACTTGGATGGCCTTCAAATATGATGATATGTGAGAAACAAAAAAAAAACCAGAATGAGATCTATAGTCTAATAACATTAGTGCAAAACAATATACTTTATAAGGATACAAAGATATCAAAGGACATACATCAAACACATTAGAATTGATACCTATAAGGCAATTGTTGAAAGGGGAAAAAAAGAAAACAAAAGGCTTTGCATGAACCAATGTTCAAAAACATTCTCCTGCATTCAAGGCAAAAGTTTACCAATTTTCTTGGGAATGAAAGAGAGAAATACTTACTGAGTGCTGACTAAGGGCTAGGTAGCATGTCTGCTCCCCCTTCTCGGGATCCAAAGAATATCCTTGCCCTTGGAAACCTCACAGTCTAGCTGGAAAAATGAACAGGTTAACAAATACAAATCCATTTGAAGAGTACTATAATAGAGTTTGGTGAAAAGTGCTGTGGAGCACTGTAAGGGATTATGACAATATTAATTTGTATATATTACTTGATACATATGTAATTCTCCATCACAGTGATGACTGAAATACTTCATAATTTAATGAGTTGGGTTTTTGGGTTTTTTTCTTTTTTTTTTTTTAATGTGTCTCCAGTTTTGCCTAGTTTCTACTTTGGGGGGACAAGCTAAGGGTTGGTTGCTGTAGAAATGTTGGAGTGCCATCTGCTGGTGGAAATATTTTAAATCCCCCATCTATCACAATGTTTTCAAAAACAAAAATATCACATATATCATAGGATATTTGGGCATGAAGGAATCTCAGAAATCATTTATTCAAGGCCCATGGTTTTAAAGAGGAGTAAATATCTCCTTACAAGACTGCATCTCGTTTAAGGAAAGCATATGCGCACACACTCACACACACTATACACACCCCTTCCATCACCACTATAAGCATCACAGAACTCTATAAAGACTCATCAAGCTAAACTATCTAAATTTTCATAGATGGATAAATACATAAACTCCTTTATAGGGTTCCATAAGACATGTTTAACATTTATATAAAACCCATTTCCTAGGAAAACAATCTGAGGAAGGCAGCTTATTGCACTGCCAAGTGAATGAACTTTGAGGTCAGACTTAAGTTCACCCCATCTTTACTATTTACTAAGAAGGCTTAAAGAACTTGTTTAACTTCTCTGAATCTTAATTTTTTATATGCAAAATAAGAACAGTAATCTAATTTACAGGATCACTGTGATAATTTGTGTGGGTAGATGTAAAAATAAAAAATGCCTAGCAATGGTAGAAAAAAATTTAATGGCTAAACTAAACCTCTAATACTAATTTAAATATGCTTCCTAATCCATCCTCAGTGAAGTTAAAAACTGTAAATAGATCTTCCTCTCATTTATCTTTGATATTTATATTTAATATAAATAATTTGCCAGCTCTAAGATATTTCATATAATTAATTCCCATAAAAAATGTAAATAGAAGGCAAAATGTGTTTTCATAGTTAATTGCATATCTGGTCAGATCATACTTCTGCTCCACAGGTCCAGCAGTATCAGCATAACCTGGGAGCTGGTTAGAAATGCAGAATTTCAGGCTCTACTCCAGACCTACAAAATTAGAATCTACATTTTAACAAGCTCCCCAAGTGATTAAAATTCAGATTTAAAGTCTGAGAAGCATTACTTTAGGGGACAGCAAGTAGAACCTGAGCTCTATTACTGTAGAAGAGGTTTCAAGAACTAGCTCTGCTCTGCAACTCTTGGCTAAATTTATCTAAGTTTTAGCAATTAAGTATTGAAACTTCTTCAGCTCTTTAAAATTTTAGTGAAACTCATCTTTGCATTCCACACAGCACTTAACATACAGCCCATAGAAGGAAGGGAAAAAGAAAATGTGATACTACTATGTCATTAATAAAATGATGCTCCAAATCCAAAGAAGACAGAAATTGACTAGGTAAACACCACAAGGAATACAGAAATATAGAAGCTTTGTTACTGATAATGAATAAGCAATTGTAAAATATGGAATAGATCAGTCAGAAACATCATGAAAATTAATGCCCACAGATGTATCTATGGGTCTTTGTGAAAGTAACAATAGATAAACGAGCAATCTCAAACATAGCAACAGCCAGCAGGTCCATGAGGAACAACCCCCAGTTGCTGGGAAGTCTGAAAGTCTACATAGTGAAAAAGCATGATCTTCATGAAGACAAAATCAGGAATGATCCACTTGAGCTTTAATCAGATTACCTAAAAACATGTAATGTGCTACTCGTACTCTGTGAAGACAAAAACAGTTATCAAATATTTATTTTAGTACCAATTGTATGCAAGGCATGATGGAATCAAAATAAAGTCACACTACTAAAGAGAAAGAGTAAGCACACAATACTGTGCTGGCAGGTGAAAACTGTTGCCAGAGGAAGCATCAACATGAAAATAAAGCTGATGTCACTAAGCCTTTCCTTCATCATCTCAGGTATGAAATCCATTTACCCACCCATGCAGACAAAGAATAATACTTAAAATAACCAGCTTTCTTAAGCACTTATTAAGTACCAGATAGTATGCAAAGCATTTTAATGCATTACTCATCTAATCTTTATAATAACTCTAAGAGACAGGTTCTCATAGCCTCATTTTAAAGAAGAAAAAAATTGACACTTGGAGAGATTAGGTAACTTGCTGGAAGTCAACAGCTAGTAAGAAGTGGTCTGGGGATTCAGATCTAGGTCTGTCATTCCAGAGGCTAAGCTCTTAATCACTCAGGTCTTCTGAACCAGTCTATGTAACATATAAGTAGGCTCACATATTTAGAGATAATAAACATTTCAATCAATGTAACATGTCTTTTAACATTTTTATCAGCTTTTCCTCCTCAATCTAAATGGCATTCTCTTCTGTACAACAGAGGATATATTTTGCGCAAAACAAATTTTATTTCCTTTTTCAGCAATATTGATAATTTGATTTTCTCCATAGATTTTGAATTTGATATACAACATTTTCTAGTGTATAAAGACTAAGTCTATACCCATGATTGTGTTCACTTTTACTGAGAATACTATGGTTAGAGAGCAAGACATAGAGAATTTGGCTCCTGAAGCCATCTCAGAAATCCCCTAACTCATGTGTGCCCATTCTTGTTTATGTTCATTTTCTCTCTCTCTCTCTCTCTAAGACAGACTCCATATAAAAAGCAGCAGGCATATTTGAAAACAGCAACAGAAAACTGGGAAGATTTTGTATAATTCAATTTGTGGGTGGGTTCAAGGATCCATGGGAAGTCTGAAGGGCCTGAAGCACTCTGGGCCCTGTGAACTCACAAAACCAACCAGCCAAAACTCCCTTCCACAAATAAAACCCCATAATGAGGAGAAACATCTGGGAAAAGAATCCATATTGTACAGTACATACAGTACT